ACAAAACCCCATTACAATGAAATGATTGAAAGTCCTATCAAATGTTGGAGCCAGGTTTGACTTGCATATGTGGGGAGAAAATTAAAAAAAGAAAAAAAAAACAGTTTGTGCAGCAGGACTGTTCAACCCAATGATGTGATGATACTTTTTCTAATTATAAGCTATATATTTGGTACTTTCAAAAAAAAAATAATAAAACCATCACAGACCTAGTTCTTTTTTTTTTTCCAGTTAATCACAGTATTCTGAGTTTTTCAGTAATAACACTAATTACTGCCTAGGATCTGCATTGCCCTTTACAGTTTTCAAAACACTCTTCCCGTGCACATTGTTGCGCTAACTTCTCAGGCTAGTCCCCTGGGAAAGACGGTATTATTGCCATCCTCTCGTCTATGAAGGGGAAAACGGGACTCAAGGAGTTTATTTAACTAGGGCCTAAACTTCTTGATGCTTTCGACTTTGCTATGCCGCCTCTCTGAAATATGCTAATACCGTCCTAACCCAGGTTCTAAATTAGAAGGAATACTTTTTTTAAAGTTGAATTTTTATCGATGTGAATCATCCTCTTCCTTCACCCACTGGACGTTGTCTCTGCAGCTGATGGGGCTGAGCCCAGGGTAGGGAGGCCACAGAATTGGTCGGTGCCTTCTGCCTGCCCGGGCGGGAATGTTCAGGGCTTTTGTCCTGTTCTTTCTGAGCCACAAAAGTAATACATGTACCAGGTAAAAAAAATTTAAATCGTGTAAAAGGTTTAGAGGGAAGAAGATGTTCCACCCCCATCCCCCAGTCTCCTGGTGCTTTGCCCAGAAGCAAACTCAGTACAACAGCTTCTTGTCTCCTTCCAGAAATATTCTCTGCACATAGAAGCAGTAAGTTTAGCCCCTGTCTTCATGCACAAGAGAGGATCCGGAACCTGTGCCGGGCACTTGGAGGGTTTTCTGCACGTGTTGCTCGGCCCCGTGCTTTTCAGCAGATGCTAAGCATGCACAACTTACTTACCCACCTTCTGTTGATGGTCCTGCAGGTCATTTTGAATCCTCTGCTTTCAACAGCCAAGCTTCTACTGCACATCTTTGTGCCTGTATCTTTGTGCATGCATCTAAGCAGGTTTGGAGATAAATGACTAGAAGCAGAATTTATTTCATTTTCAAAGACTCCTGCTAATGAATATTCCACAGACTTCCAAAGTAACCACTTCACGGCCCAGTGTTCTCTTTGGGTGAAGTTCTGACTTAAATCATTTCTGTTTAAAAAAATATATAGCTTTTTTATCCTTAGTCTTTGGCCTTAAGGAAAACAAAACACCTGCCCGGCCCAGCCTCTGTGTGTCCTGTGTTTGGAAAGTGTTATTGAGTTACTGTGCTCGGGCTTTACTTCTTAGACTGAAAATCATACTTTCTTTTTCCCCAGGCCCCTCGCAGTCATTTTGAGTCTCGGTGATTGCTGGCAGAGGGGCTCGTCTCACTTCTCGGCTTGCGGGCTGAGGAGTCAGCGGGGCCCTTGTGGTGTAGACGTTCTGGGATGGGCTTCGCTCCATGGAGACAGGACCTTCCCCCCACTGCACCAGGGAGTAGGCTACAGGATCCCCCAGACACACCCTCTCCAGCGGTGGGATTCAAAGCATTTACCAGCCAGTAAGGAGAGGGGCCCAGTCTGCCTCCTGGGCGCTGGCCCCAGTGCTGCTGCAGGGGCATTGGAGGGCCCACTGAGCTGGCTGTCACCTGAAGGTGGGTCCTTGGGAGCTGAGGACAGCAGTGCTTCCTGAAGCAGTGGGGAAATGTCTCAGTGCAGCCAGGCAGCACGCGGGGAGGGCCAGGTGAGCTGGACTTCAGCCACACCTCTCTGGGGTGCAACGAGGGGCAGTGTGGTTAATAAAAAGACCACTGGTCTGTTCTTGGGGAGACCAGGTGTGAGCCCCAGCCAGGCCTCTTGTTACCTAAGCAGAATAAGACTCGGACACTGTTCTCATCTCCAAACGAAGGGCTTTGTACCATAGAACACCCAGGGTCTTCACCCGCTCCAAAATCTGAGGAACTAAGACAAAAACAGTCATGGGGAAGAGTTCAAAACGCGTTGTTTTCCTGGCATTTTACTTTTACGTTTATGTCTTAACAACTCTCCCTACCCCCAACCAACCTCCTCATGCAAGAAAAGTCAAAGACCTGGATTTGGGAGAAGGATTGAAAGGAGAGGGACTGTTGTGTGGCTTAGGCAGCGTGGTGAACACGATGGAATTATGGGAAGTGTTGAGGAAAAGGGAAACCGGCTTAATCCTGACCAGGTCATGGTTAGGTTCATTCATCCATCCACCAAATATTTATGGAGTCCCTATCAAATGCTGAGCACTGTTCTGGACTATGGGAATGAAACAGTGAACAAAGTAAGGTCCCTGCTCTCATGGAATACATGAAAGGAAAAAAAAAAAAAGCAAGCTATTAAATCTTTTTCTTTAAGTTTTCCAACCTATGCATTCTTTAATGGTGATGGCACTGGTGCTGATACTCCCTGTTCTGCTTCCGTGCAGACATCAATAATCAGTCACAGATAGTCTCTGATTTATGATCGTTCCATTTAGGAGCTTTTGACTGTACAACAATGGAAAAGCATACCCTCCCAACCATTCCGTCTCTCACTTTCTACACAGTATTCAATAAGTCACATGAGATATTCAACACTTTATTACAAAATGGGCTTTGTGTTAGATAATTTTGCCCTACTGTAGGCTAATACAAGTGTTCTGAGCCTTACTTAGTCCAGGCTAACCTACTTAGGGTAGGTTAGGTGTAGGAAATGCATTTTTTGCCGTTGATATTTATTGACATCCTAAGTTAAAGAGCATCTGTTGGGCCCTCCCAGCAGCTGCAGTCAGTGATTAGACAATAAGAATATATGTTTTCCTGGGCTAAAGGAATTCTGAAGTCCTTCCTGCTCCCTAATTCATCCTTGTTCCTTGCTTCTGATCGTAATGGAAGACAGCATTAAACTGAGGGAGAACTATAGCAGAACTCCCATCGCAGAACCATCAAAGTTACAGACTTTACAAGAAAATGACCATTACTTTGGTTTTGCTGGGTACAAGCAGCATGTGTTTTTATAAAATTATTTCAGGTCTCTGAGATTTTCCCTTCTATAATTTTGTCTTTTGTCTTGAGTGCTTTAAAGGACCCCTCAGGCTGGGATCCGTGGATGAGAGAAGGGCTCGCTAGTATTTGCTTCTAACTCCTTACACTTTGGAATCCTGCTTCACCGAGTTTATTTTTACTAGTGTGAGGCTGGGAAGAACTGAGCCTCACTTGCTTGGATAAATATTCCTACTATGTACTAGAGAACAGCAGTCACCGGCAGAAGCCTTCCTGGGGTCTGGGATGGCCATCTGATCTCTTCTGCTCCACTTGAAAGAATGGAGAACAAACCAAGGCTGAGCTCCTGTCGACCTCTTTGGTGAATTTTTTCCCCTCAGATTTCAAAGACATCTTTGCAATATTTCCATTTCTAATCCCTCACAACAGACCAGCCAGTTCAATGTTACCGAATTGAGCTCAAGTTTAAAACAAGAAAATTAAAAGGCTCCACTGTTTCTGTTGGAACTATGTCCATCATTTTGGGTTTCCAAATGTGTCTCTAGGTAGATTTATGGACATTTGGGGGAAATTGGCTCATTTCATCGTATTACATTTGTACAAGGGCCTGAGAGTCCACATGCTGCTCTTAAGATTTCCAAATTATATTAAACCCAAAGTACCTCTCTACTTAGTGGAATTCTGTGTTTCCTTTTGGGCAATGAGGAGTGCTTGAAGGTCCAGCACTCCAGACTGAGGCCCCCAAAATTTGTGCCAATGTTGATATTTGATGATTCTCAAAGAAGCCAGTTCTTCTCTCCCCATGAAACTCAGGAGCATAGATTGTGTCCACCATCTAATCAGGGGTATTTCAACTAAGGAGCATTTTAGAAAGAGAAAAGCATCCTTCTTCCTAGGTTGAGTTAAGGGAATTCTCTTTTCTTTGGTGGGGGATGTATGGAAAACAGGAAATTTATACTTAGCCTCTTTAAAGCAGTGGATATTAAATATAGAACTGAAACTCATTTTCCCCTTCAAGATGTGTTATGGACATCCCTATTTTCTAGAACTACAGAGAAGAAGTCTCCCACGTTTGTGAAATAAATTTTTTTTTCACACCCAGTTTTACGGGGAGTGGTTGGTGATTTTTGTGTAGGGTAATATGTTGCATGTATGTGGAAAGCCAAAGACAAAATAAACAAAGCAACAACAAAAAAGTGCAGTTTAAAGAACAAGAATTCTGAAACCAAATTGCTTGAGTGGAATCCCAACTCCACCTCTTATTCTTTAACCTTCTCTAGGGCTCAGTTGGTGGTATGTTGAATGGGGACAGTAAAAGGACCCACCTCATAGTTAGTTGTGAGACTCAGTGAGATCATCCCACACCATGCTCAGTGCGTTGCATGACATTCTCTAACAGTTGCCATATGGCAACTGACTGTGCCTCCATTTGCCTATCTGTAGACTGGGCATAAGAATGAGGATTTAGTGCATGAAAGCATGCTTCAGTGTCTGCACCATCGTGAGCACTATGGAATCTTTCTCATTGTAACACAAAAACGATTTCAAAATGCTTTCCCTGGCATGAAGAGGGCAGTGTGTAAAAGGGTTAAGAACATAGAAACCTGAGTTTGAAACCTGCCATTTGGCTCTACCACTTCTGAACTTTGCAAACTTAGCCTTGGGTGTCCCATCTGTAGAGTGGACGTTAGGATGGAACCAGCTCCGCAGGGTTGTGATTGAAGACTGGGGGAGACAGTCTTGGTCAGGTGCCCAGCGCGGTGCCCGGCAGGTATCCAGTGATCATATGCATTTGCTGATAGTTGTAGGAATCACATTTAAGTGTTGGCTGGAGCCTGGCAGAGGGCGCCAGGAGGAGGGTGGCTTGGGTGGGATAGCTTTGCCGGAGATAATCGGAAGCGACTGTTTTGCTGTTTGCAGATGTGGTGGCCCTCCTTGGCTATCTCTATGCCTCCAGTGGAGAAAACACGGGCATTGTGAAGAAGCTCCTGAGGTTCCGGAACCGAGAGCTGGAGGCCGCCCGACGCCAGCGCATGGACTACCCCGTGTAAGGGAGGGCAGCCCAGGGGCTGGCCTCTTGATGGGTTTTTATCTGCAGAGCAGGGCAGGCTCTGGGAAGGGCTCCTTAGATCCACAGATGTTGGGATCTACAGGGTTTAGACAGATTTGTGGACCTGGAAACAAGCTCGCATTACTCTTGCACTAGGAGCCACCCATTTGCCTTGGTCTTTATATACAGATCCAGGAATGGCGGGAGTAAGCTGAAGGTGTTGGACCCACGGCCTTGGGAGGTTTCAGCTGCAGCCATCCAAGGCCACGCAGATGCAGCCGGGCTTTGCCTTTTCTTTCTTGGAGGGTTGAGAGAGCTGCTTGCAGTCTCCCAGTTTCCGTATCCTCCATCGATTTCAGCAAAATCTACACATATGTATTTTTTCCTTTTGCTGAATTGAAGATGCTGAAAACGGTTCCTGGTTCTCCCCAGATCAGATGGATTTAGCAGAGTGATTTAATTCTTCCCGTGCTGCTGGCTGTAGAAAGATCTTGAGTCGCTTTACCAAGCATGTGCTCTTGCTAAGCTTCCTTGTAATAACTTGTCTTCATGAGCTTGCTAGCTGGGTGGGTCAGGAGGGAGCTTCGTGACACCATCTGTTTGCATATCATGCCACTGGTTTTGAGGCCAGATTATAAAGCCCAGAATATTCTAAAGGACTTGTTTGGATATGGATAAAACACCTGGGGCTGCTGCCACTTTAACCCACACTGTGAATTGGTTAGGGGGGTAAGTGGAGAGAACCTGATGTATTTGTGTGACCTTGAGTCGGTTTCCCGGGTGAAATGTGGTTACTCCCAGCTCCTTCTCTTGGAACTACTGGCCTCCAGTGCAATGCATGGCATAGACAGGTGTCCAGCAAATTTTTTTCTGAATGATTGATGGATCACACATTTAGCTGAATGTGCCCTAGTTAAGTTGGATACTGTTATATCATCCTCACTCCACAAATCACAGATGCACAAAATTTGTACAATATTTTCTCACCTAAGTAGCCTCAGTCCAGAAATAGAATAATTAGATTAGTTGTTTCACATTGGTCAGCCAGAACCGGGTCTCGGAGCAGCCTAATGTGATCATTAAGGTAGTCTGTATGTGTCCCAGTTACCCCGTGGTGATGCCATTTACAGATTAGTATGTTTTTCTACCTTGGGGCTTTTATCTTTGAAAGAAGCAAAATTGCTCAAAAAGCCCTAATTATGTTTTTTTTCTTTTAATCATAGGTATTAGAATAGCTTCTTATCAAATCACCTCTTATTAAAATCCATATTTTTGTCCCACATCTGACTTTATAAGCCGTAATCAAGAATTCTAGTGGCAGGCAGGTCAGATTCTCATCTAAGAGGCAGCGAAGCTGGTTTTGGTGCAAGGAAGACTGTCTGTGGTTTTGTACAATGAGGCTTAACTCCCGTCTCCGCAGTTACTATAACTACCTCCTTTGTCTCAAAACTCAGGCTTTGCGAACTGATCTCCCATGATGAACACTAAAGCAAATCCATCCCTTCGTTGGAAAGAAAGCAATTTTCTTGGTCATTGTTAACTATAATTACCTGTTCTTGGATGATATCAATCTGCACAATTTTTTTTTCTCTCCTCACTCCTTTAGGTTTACTGTTTCAATGTGGCTTTATTTACTCCATTACTGCAAGGCCAATCTCTGTGGGATTCTGTATTTTGTTGATTCTAATGAGATGTACGGCACACCTTCTGTGTTTCTTACTGAAGACGGTAAGTATAAAGCAGAACCTTTAAAGTGATATCGTCTTTTTCTGACGTTCTGTCTACTGGCAGATATATCTGTCTAGAATGAGGATGATATTGTCCAAGTGGTTGCTCAACAAGTGTGAGATGTGCTTGTCCTCCGACCAGGCGATGGCAATCGTATGGGCCTTGTCGGGATGCCATTTACTTAAATATGTAATTCTGTTCTTTCTACAAAAACGAGTTGATTATTTGGGGGTAGACTCGGTAAAGAGGAGTTACTAAAAATGGGTGGGGGAAGTAAGATAGCTAGAAACAGTTGAGAAAATAGATTGAAATCTGGATGGGTGTTGGGCTCAGATAGTTTTTACAAATGTCTTATTTTATTTTCATTTGGAAGAAACAGATACCGGGCACTGTTTATACAAGAAAGGCCACAGGAAACCAAATGCGAACTTTAAACTTCTTTTTCCTAGAAGCTTAAAGCAAATGTCTCATTTATTTAAAAAAAAATGCGTTTTGGTTTTGCTTCATTTTTGTTTAAAGAAAAAAAAAAGGAAGGGGATTTAGTTTTAGCTTCTTAGGAATGTTGTTGAAAAAGGTACATCTTTGTCATTCACTCCTAGATGTTTCTTTGGGTCATTTTCATGAGTTTTGATTTTCCTCTTAGGTCATTTGCATATTCAAATGCATCTTGTCAAAGGAGAAGACCTTGCTGTAAAAACTAAATTCACCCTACCTCTGAGGGAGTGGTTTCGGCTGGATATCTCTTTTAATGGAGGCCAGGTATGAGGGTAGAGGCTCCGCCATGAATCCCATCAGCATTTTCACTCCAAGTCAAGCGTTAGTATAATGCCAGACAGCAACAAAATCTGTAAGCAAATTTGTACGAAATGATAGACTCTTTGCAACTATGCACTTGCTAAATCAAACTTTTATAGATGCAAGTTTAAATCATAAGAATCTCATCCCATTTAATTAACTTTTAAAGTGCTTTCTTTCGACTATATTGTGAATGAGTAAATAATATAGTCAGCTCTACAGCCACAATTATCTGAGCAATTCCGTCCTTTTCCCCCAGGGAGATGGGCTTTGTGGAGATAAATGTTAAAACAGCATCGGCCATGTTCAGGCTGTGTTATCAGATCTACAACTTTTTTTTTTTTTTCAAAAAAGGAAATTTATTGGCTGGTTCAGCTAAGATCTGGTTTGACTGTTCTTGGCAGTTGAAACAATTGCTTATGTTTGGCATTAAACACACTCATAATAACCAACAAACATAAGTGATAATTCTGGTGGGATGGAGGGTCTTTATCTACTTTGCACATAAAACATTGCACATAACCATTCCACCCTCTCATAATACAGCTTTTTTGGATTATGGCAAATCTGTTATAATTGAAGACAATTCCACTGCTCCATACACAAGATGCCAGGGTGTTACCTTTTTCTGGTTACTTGATTTTCTCATCAGCTTTTCTTATTGATTTGTGATTTTCCTGTAACAAAGGCATTCTGTTGTCTCCTGCATTAGACAATACACCGTCTTCCCTTGGTGTTTAGGTTTATCACATTTCCTTTTTCTGAAAAGAAAATAAATCAGGTCAGTTCTTGCTGCCTCCCTGAGAAGACTCTGTAAAACATTAGCGGGCAGCTTTTGTCTATTTGTTTGTTTCCTTAGAAATGTGAGGTGACATAGCTGTGGCCCGCGTCTTCACTCCCTGCACTGGAGTCTTATGATGGTATTGTGGCGTGGCTGCTGCTTTCTGCCGAGGAGAAGGTCAGCTCCGTGCCATGTGTCACTGAGACAGGCATCACATGTCAGAGCAAATACATAGATCTTATTTTGCACCTGCTGTATGTAAGGCACCAGGCTCCAGTTGCTTATAGACTATTTATGGAAGTAACATGAAGCACGTGAGGAGAAGTCAGAAGGCAAGCTTAATTGCCAAATGACTCAGATTGATTTCCAGAAGGGAGACAGTGTTTCATACTGGGATGCTCAAGGCAGGCTTCCTGAAAAAAGTTTCTCTGTATGGGCAGAATGTAGACAGAAAAGAGAGGAGGGGACATTGGAGCATATCGTTGGAGCTAAGAGATAAACCTGTTTGGGGTCTTAGTCTGTTTTGTGTTGCTACAACAGATTACCTAAGCTGGGGTCATCTCTAAAGAAAAGAGGCTTATTTCTCACGGTTCTGGAGGTTGCCAAGTCCAATATCAAGTTGTTGGCATCTGGTGAGGGCTTTTTGCTGTGGAATCACACAGCGAGGATATCTCACAGCCAGAGAGCTAGAGCAAGCAAGCTTGGGTTTCTGGTCCCCTTCTTTTAGGGCCACTAATTCCATCATGCGGGACCCACCCTCACAACTCCTCATGCTAATCACCTCCCTAAGTCCCCACCTCCAAATACCATCGACATAGGAATTTGGGGATTAAGTTTAGGACACGTGAACATTTGAGGAACACATTCAAACCATTGCAACTGGAGTAGAAATTTGCACATTATAGAAAACTAATAGAAGGAGAGGGAAAGTCTTTGGGGTTAAAACGTGCAGAATCTTGAATATCAGAGGATTTGGACTTTAACTGGCAATGGGGCAGGGGGCCGCTGTGGAAGATTTTCAAACAGATAAGAATAAAAGCCGTCCTTTATTTAAAGACACAAATTTAATGGCACAAGGCATGATGAGCTAAAGCAGGAGAGAAGACTTAGGAGGGCCAGAAAGGTGAAAAGAAAAAGAAAAAAAAAACAGTTGTTTTCCGCATTTGTAGACTTTTGCCCATTTTTCTGTCTTCCTTTCCCATCTGCCTTCCTGATACACATAGGACCTAGCGATGCTTAATGATTCCCACACAGAGTCCCCCTCTGGGTTGGGACTGTCATGATCATCTCCAGGAAATGGTTGGTTCAGGGAAATGACTGGTTTGAGTCATTTTCTTTTCTGAACCCACGTTGGGCCGAGTTGGTTTTCATTGAGTTTGTCTTCAGTAGACATGGTGTGGTGTCCACGTCTTGAGGACCCAGAGAGGCCACCATGAATCTGCTAAACGCTTTCTGTGGGACATTAAGGGAGTCAAAGTGGTCCCTAGGTCCAGGGGCTCCCTGTGTAGTCCAGCACACAAGAAGAACCATGTGAAACAAAGCCCTGTCCCCACCGATCCCTGGTGCCCAGGGAAAGGGAGGAGGAAGAGCTGGGTATGAAGAACATGGCACCCACCTTGCTTTTCCCCTAAGGCTCTCACAGAGTCAGAGTGAAATTCCAAAAACTCCTTCTTTTGCCAAACACATTTGTCTTTTTATGCGACAAGCTTGTATATGCAAACACATTAAATGAAACTTTGTCTTGGAGTCTGGAAGCATCTGAATGATCCAGTGGAAGAAACTGCATTGTAGATATATTTAACCACATCAAGTCATTTGGGGAAGCTGAATTTACCAAGTCGTAAAACATGCACAGGACTAGTAAACTGTTTATTTTTGCAGAAATCGATCAGGTCAAAGACTGTCCAGCACATTCTATGAGGAATTTTGCCAGGGAGTGTGTTTGTACTGTGGGGTGTTAAGGTATGACTGACTCTTCTCTCTCTCTCTCTCTCCTAACTTAGATAGTAGTAACCACAAGCATTGGACCAGAGTTGACTGGTTACCATAATCAGACAATTAGGTAAGTGCAATTTTTCCCTTTATTCAAACTCTGGCTGCATAAGGGTTAAGGAATCTTTATACCTCAGGCCTCAACCCTAGTGCTGTTCCCATGTCCCCTCCCCATTCAGCTTTCCAAGCATGGACCCCTCTGCCTTGTAGCTAGCCTTTGTACTTCTTTATTCTTTTCTCAGGCACAAACTCTCCTCATTTTCCTGCAACATTTTATTTTTTCTAAGCAAGAGAAACTAGTCCTTCTTCCAGATCTCATTGTAAATTCTTCCTTTCACGGCACTTCATAATTCATTTTCTTTGAAAATTATCTCCTACGAAGGATTCTGAAAAAAAATGATAAATCAAAGTATTATTGTTACTTATTGAGCATGGCTGGTGACGTTGGCTTACTGCAAAACATAAAAGCAGGCAGTCTTTATATTTATGTTCATAATCTAGATTTGAAATGTATGCAACAATTGATATTGGTGTAACTTTTTATCCTTATGTAACCATTCTCTGCAAGAGTTACAGAAACTGAGAGTTCAGTACTTTGCTTTGTGTTTCATGATTTTTTAATTTGCCTCTAGATCTGCATATAATAGTAGGTTTTATAGTGTCAGAGCAAGGCGAACCTCAGTAGGAATTTGGGATACCCCATCAAAGCTACAGAATATATGTATAATTCAGTGTTTAAGAATAAGCGTAAAGATCAGAGATAAAAATTACCAGTTTTTTAATATATAATTTTGAAATATGTGTCAGGACAGCCGGGTACTTGTGGGGTGGGGAAATGCTGTACGACTCTAGTGCTTGGTTGTCTCTCTGTAGCCTACGGAGGATACCTCTCCAGACAGGTTCCTGGTCCCCAGCCCCATACAGCCCCAATTCTTTTGGAAACTGATGATTAAAGAAGTGAAAGCAGAGAGAGGTAGAGAGGGTACACTCTTTTTCAAACCATTCCTGTTTAGATTTAAGTCAAACATGTTCCTTTAGACTCTGGGCTCCTAGGACAATTCTTATTTTCATGCTGGATTAAAGGATTAGGGATTTATAGAAAGGCTAAAGGAGAGTTATACCTTTGCCTGCAAACAGAGGGTCTGAGAGGGTTTTGATAGTTGCAGGGAAGCATAGACAACGAGGTGAAGAAGGACAGAAGTCTTAGGCACATCACGGTGGGCTTGTGTCACGGGAGGCAGTCCACAGATGGCAGGTTTCTTGTTACTGTAGATGGCGGTGGGGCTTCTATGGTGAGTGTAAGAATAGACAGGACAGGAGGGTTCTCTCTGGAGGAACTGAGGTTCTGTAGCTCCTTTGGGAATCTCTCCTAGTGCAACGTTCTGTGAAGAAGATCCTAGAAGTTCAGGGGTTCTGTTTCAGGGTGTGAAATCTAAAATACCAGCCTCTTTCCCCCCATCACCCACTCCAGCTGTAGGAAACCGCTTGAATTTCACAGGTTCCTTTTCATTTTCCATGGAAGACTTTCTTTCCTCCCAAATCCCAGAAATGTGGAGGTGGACGTGGGTGAAACATAGACAGATCAAGGTGTGATCTGGGCTGGGCCAGGGTGAGGCTGGTGAGGGATGAGCCTGGAGCATAGAGTGGTAGGGAGTCCCTAAGCGCTCAGCACCAAGGCCTTCAGAGCCAGGTGCCCAGAGGGAGCAGGTTTAACAGCAGAGCTTTGACTTCTCAGCTGCAGAGGCTGGAGGTCCAATCACAGGTGCAGTGAGGCCACGTCCCCCCCCAAAGGTGCGAGGGAGCAATCTGCTCTAGACCGTTCTCCCAGCTTCTGGTAGCTCCTCGGCTTGCAGCAGTGTAACGCCAGCCTTCACATGGTGCTCTCCCCATGCGCATGTCTATGTCCAAATGTTCCCCTTTGATAGATACCAGTCGCAAGGATCAGGGGCCACCAGCGTCCAGCATGACCTCATTTGAACTAGTTGCATCTGCAATGACCCTATTGCCAAGTAAGGTACAGGACTTCAGACTTTGAGGAGGATCACAACGTAACTCGACAGTTATCATGGCAAAACAACCCTTTAATACAATATTTTTTAAAAAATCAGAATGAAAGCCAAGAAGCCATAATGAACCAAATATCAAAATTTTAAGTAAAGGGCCAATCTGATCATGAAGGATTACAGGGATCAGGACTGGTTTTCAGTGCACGACAGGGCAACATCCCAGTTAAAGCATCAAACTAACCCTGACATTGTAATACTAGCAGTGTCCAGACCTGAGCAGGCTACACCTCTACCTCCTCAGCCCTGATTGTGCCCCCGGGTGTCCAGAGCAGCTGGAGGGGAGCAGGCCCCCAGGACATGCATGTCTCTCCTGGGGTTCCTCTGGTTATACTTTGGGGATCTTGTCCTTGCGGGAAAACTTGCTTTCAGTGTTGGCCAGGGCCTGGACAGAAGATGAGATAGCTCAGCTTCCTGCCCACAGGTGTTCTGAGGAAGACCTTTAGCCCTCCCGTTCGTCCTTGTGACATAAACAATGCTGGCTATTGTCACATGAAGGTGGTGTAGGAAGACTATGGATGAAGCGCTCAGGAGTACAATTTGGATGAGGGCCATCATGACACTGGGTGACAGGCAACGGCCTCAGGCCTCTGGAGTGTTTCCTTCATTCAACACAGATTTACTGAGCATATACTATGTGCCAGACACAGTGCTCAGTTCTGGAAATGCAACAATAAACAAAAAGAACAGAGTCCCTGCCTTCAGGGAGCTAAAGGAAATCTAGCAGGGGAGAGTGAGATTAAATAAATAAGTTTACAAATTAATTTAAAAGTACAAGTTGTAGTGGATGCTTGGAAGGAAACAAATAGGGCTAGCTGAGAGGATAACGAGGGGGTCAGAATTTAGACAGGGTACTTGGGAAGTGATACTTCAGATGAGAATTACTCTCAGGGGTGAGAGGACAGCTACTTCAATGCTCCAAGTTCCCCTACCCAAGAACCCTCTAGCCCATCTCTTTCCTGCCTCTGAGTGAGGCCCATCTAACAATATCAGCAATTCTTTCAGGCCACTGGTCCTCCGCAGTAATAAACCAGGGCACTCAGTGTCCAGATAAGAGTAAAGATAGTTTGCCAGCATGTCTGAGGTTTTCGAAAGAGACTGGTTTGGGCTTTGGAACAGTCTAGCTCAGCTATTATGTCAGTGAAATTGATGACCATCAAACAATGCACAGTACAAGAAATCTCTTGCAATCTTTGTGCAGACACTGAGAATTTCAGAGGAGAAAGATGTGGAAACATCAATATAGGGATGTAGATGGAGACCAAGCCAGACAGATCTCCTGATGGTTGATAATAATGACAATTTAAGAATTACATTCCAGTGCCACAATGACCAAGTAATTCTTTATTAGTTGAAAAACTCAGTTAAAGCAAAGATCCATAAAAGGATTGTTACCATAAACATGTTAGTCTAAAAAAAAAAAATGCGGTAGCCTCCCTTATCCAAGATTTTGCTTCCCATGTTTCATTTACCCATAATCAACTGTAGTCAGTTAAAATATTAAGTGGAAAATGCAGAAATAAACATTTTATAAGTTATAAGTTGCATGCCATTCTGAGTTGCATGATGAATTCCTGCTTTGTCCCCTAGGACATAAATTACCCCTTTGTCCATGTTTCCATGGGTATATGCTACCCACCTAGTATTTGGTTTTCAGATAAACTGTCAAGGTATTGAAGTGCTTGTGTTCAAGTTAACACCTATTTTACTTAATAAGGGCCCCAGAACACAACAGTAGTGATATTTGCAATTCAGAAATGCCAAAGAGAAGGCATAAAGTGCTTCCTTTAAATATCATTTTACATCATCACAAGAAAGGTAGGTAACATAAATACAGAAGTAAGGTATTTTGAGAGGGAGTGACCACATTCACATGACTTCTATTACAAAACTATATGTTACTGTACTTATTTTATCATTTATTATTAATCTTTTGTAGTGTCTAACTTATAAATGGAACTTCATCCTAGGTATATAGCATGTGAGGGCAATAACACAGCATATATACATTTCCGTACTATCCGAGGTTTCAGTCATTTACTAGAAATTGTTGAATGTGTCCCCCATAGATACTGGGGGAGTACTAAATAAGTGTGTGTTCTTTTGCTTATTTTTCTAAATAGGGCCTTTCCTTTGACCGGAAAATTGTGAGTCTTTTTGGCATAGACAATGCCTAATATCTATTTCTTCCAAATGAAAAGAAACAGATACTTGTGAAATAATGAGACCCAAACCCTTCTCAGTTCTTCCGCTTCTTTCACCAAGCTTTGTGTAACCCCTATCTACAGACTCTACCAAAACATTCAACTTAGTTTTAATAAAAGGAACCACCCTTTCTTCTTCGCTCCTGTTTTATTGGATACCAGATTGAAGTCAATAGTAAATGATTAGGACCACAGATTTGCCATTGACTGGCTTGAGAGTCCACATTTCGTACTAAAAATGCAGCTCAAAAGGAGCAGAAGTCTAGCAGAGGACAAGGTCAACTGTAATAACTGCGGCTGGTAGTGTGGGTGCCTGCTATGTTCACTGTTCTAAATGTTTTGTTCCTGTATTCAAGGTTGAGCAAATTCCTCCTAATCTGAACATCAGAAACCCAAAATGCATCAAAAAGCATCACACCAGATTTTTTAACATTTTAGATGCTCAAAAAAATTTCCTCTGTGAGACCATTTTGCATTTTAGATTTTCAGGTGAAGGATGCTTAACTGGTATAGTCTATGTAATTATTCCAAAACCCAAAAAACTCCAAAATCTGAAACATTTTCATTCCCAAGAATTCTGGGTAAGGGACATGCAACCTGTAGTTCATTTATCCCTCACAACAACCACATAGGTAGGTATTACTACTATTCCCATTTTTAAAACATGAAGGCTCTGGAGAACGGTGTCTAGTAAGGGAGCATCCAGCTGTCGTGGGCATTAGTCGGTAGGTTTGACAGGAGTGGGGACCTCAGGTAGGCTTGTGAGTTGGTGAAATAGAGGTCACTTAGAAAACTTCAAGAAACATTGCTTCCAGCTGTCAAGTGCCGGGTGTAGTCTCACGGGAACTGTTGAAATATTCAAGTCTTACCAAGGTCTTGGAAAACAGGGTCAATTCCCAGTCTCAGAGTTGATAACTTCGTGTTCTCTCCTGAAAAAGGGGGGAAGAGACCTTCATCTCCTCACAGTCCTTCAAGGCCGAGATTCCAAAAGGACAAATACCAGGAGATAAAGCCCTTCTTTTCCATTTGGGTTGTGTTTGCATAAAGCTAATTAATTTCCGAGAGCTGGCTCCTGCTGTTGTCAGTGGATGTCTGGGGAGCTCGCCGGTTGCTTCACCCCATCCTGCTTCCTCTCCAGCCAGATGCACCTGCTAGGAGTTGCTTCTTTGCTGAGAGGCAGGCAGTCCATCTCCTGTCCTGGAATGACCCTGGGTGGCCGGCTTCTTGATCCCTCTGTGGGTAGCTGGCGCTGTGGCCCAGTCCTCTGCTCCCTGGCTCCTGGCAGTCTGCCTGGCATTCTGCTGTCTCCCTGGTGCCCACACCTGCCCTCTGTGCTCCTTGGCCCTGTCCTCTCTTGACTCTCATCCCACCCCCATGGTTCACATATGCTCCGGTCACACCTCGGCCTATCATTCCTGCTTTAATCGTCAAATAGGTAATAAATGCAAATGGTTAAGGACATTAAAACAAACAAAAAACCCTAATATTTATATGAAAATACAGTTAAATGTCAAATGGTTAAGGACATTAAAACAAAACAAAACAAAAAACCTAACATTTATATGAAAATACAGTTAAATGTCTTGCTCCCATACACCCCACCCCCTCTCCTCATAGACTTTTAATGGTTTCTTGTCTACAAGTACAGATTTAATACAAATTTAAAAAAAAAATCTACTCTCTTTTGTAGGTACATACCACACTGTGTTCTACACTTTTTTCCCCCTCAGTGTATTTTGGAGATCTCTCAGGTCCTCTTGTACCTTTTGTAAGCTGCATTGTAAATAAAGCTCCCTGGTTGGAAGGGCCAGTGATGGACACCTGGGGTTTCCCAGTATGAGCAATATAAGCAATGCTGCCACCCATGTCTTCCTTCATTGTGTCTCTGATGCTTCAGACCCTTCAGGGCAAGGCGGACCTGTAACACATCACCTGGGCTGAATTCTTGTCCTTGGCCAAGCCTTTGACCTTGCCGTGGCCTCCTCCTCCTCCTAACCCAGTTTTGCTTCTATGCTCATCAATGTCTGCACTTTACCTTTCCCACACAACCAGCTTCTATTTATTCCATAAGTTTCTCCCCCCTGGCAGAGCAAAATATTTCCAATTAAGAGCAACAATTTCAAATAATTCCATTGATTGCAAACCATATCGCCAATACCAACAGTCATGTACTGTACCGCAGGTGGGGCACTCTGGTAGACACTGACATCTTTACCTAATCCGACAATCCAATAGATCAGGCACTATCATTTTATAAAAGAAAACAGTCTCAGAGAGGTTAGGTGACTGGACCAGTCACATACCTGGTAAGTAGCAGAATTGGGATGTAGCCCAAGCCTTCCTGACCCCAGGTGGTCTTGTCTGCTGAAACCCGAAGTGACAGGCTTGTGGCAATTTGGGTTAAGTTAAGGAGGGTCAATGAAAGTCTCTTTAAATAACCTGGTTCCTATCCAGGGCTCTCTCAGTCCTTTCTGTTCTTCTCCAGCTTCCGAGAGGATTTCCATTACAATGACACAGCTGGGTACTTCATTATTGGAGGGAGCAGGTACGTGGCTGGCATCGAAGGATTCTTTGGACCCCTGAAGTACTATCGCCTCCACAGTCTGCAGCCAGCACAGGTGAGCCCCGCACCTAGAAGTTTGCAGTGGGCTGGGTAGTAGGTGTGCCTTCAGGAACACAGGACCCAATGTAAACAAAAGATTTACCCCAGCTGGACATCAAGCATAATTAATATTGGGTCCCCCCCCCCAGCCAATGCGATAATAGATTTCTGTTAATGTTTGGTTCATTTAGCACTCATAAAATGGAAACCATTTACTTCCTCTGTTTTAATAACTACTAGCTTAATTATAGAGTAGATTTTTATCAGGCTGTTGCCTATCCAGTGATTAAGCTAATGAAAGGAGAGATTCTTAGTTATTTGGTAAAGCTTCTCTTACACGCTATTATTTAAAGTATCAGAAGACGAGAGGCTCCAGCAAATTAAAATCCTGGTACCACGAGTTGCTCTCTGCAGAAGCACAGGCGTGGGCTTGTGGGGGGTCCAGGGGCTGTTGGCTCTGGCTGTACAGAGGGAAGAGGGCTTTGCGTTCCCAGTGGAGTCTCCTGCATCAGGCTCTCACATCCAAACCCACCACAAAGGAGACTCCCAGCTGGGCTGAGGATCAAGGGCTTCTTATGCAGAGCCCTCATAACAGTTAGCGTCTTGGCAGTGTGGAAGAGATCAGGAGCCCCACGTGATACCTGAGAGAGGAACATTCTCTCCGTCCCTTGCCTGCAGAGAGTTTGTTCTGGAGAAAGCAGGACTCACTAGACAAGATCCTAATTAGGAAAATGGAAAGCCGTACCGCCCATGGGTATGTCACAGAGCTGCTATTGAGGGATCTCTATGAAAATGAAGAAGGGAAATTTGTTTATTCACTGTACAATAAATACTTCCTACCTGTGATGTAACAGGCTCTGGGCTGAGTACTACGGCAAGCAAGGGGGATTCAGAGAGCAGCTTTCAATTGTTTTTGAAGGTAGTTGATTTAGTATCATTAATACCACATACATAAGAGAGTATATATATTCACACACAAAACTGAGACAAAAATTCGACTAAGGGTTCTTACCCTTGCTCTGTTCAATGTACTCTGATATTTTGTATTTTACTTTATAAAAACAAAACACTATCCAACGACTGGTTACAAAGCACTAACATCATTTTATGGCCCTCGACTGGGTCCAAACCTGCGTTTTTGAAACACACTGAGTTCAGGTAAGTCGCCCGATCCTGACAAGCTCCCTTTCTGGAGCTTCGATTGGTAAGTCCTAAAAGAACTCAAGACTGGTTTCATTCATTGTGAGCACAGCTCTGGGCGCCCTGAGGCAGGGGCTGTGCCTCTGCCCACCAGTGACCGTGGTGGGGAGGGCTGGCAGGGAAGCCTGTCCCCATGACACAGACTTGCATCCAGCTCTTGGAGGCTGAGCCATGCAGGAGATGAGAGAGGGGGTCCCAGGCAGCTGGCATGGCATGGGTAGAACCCACAGCCCTAGGTGAGAATTGCAGGTGGGGAGAAATGGGATGTTCTAGGCTACGGGTTGGGGGGAAGGGGGCGGAGCCTGGTCTCTAGGAAACCCTACATTTAAAAAGCTCTGCAGAGGGAAACATGAGCCCCAAAGAAGCCAGAACTGGTATGGCCTTGAACTAATACTAAGAACCTTGGTTTACAAATCCAGAGTTGAGGATACTGCACAAGCAAGCCGGCCGGTGGCGTCAATGGGAGATGAAGTCAGCCTGAACACATCCTCACGGACCTTGGTCAATGAGTATTTGATGACAATGGCTGTTCATTTGGTTTTCTTGCCTTCTCTTAGATCTTTAATCCCCTCCTCGAGAAGCAACTTGCTGAACAAATCAAGTTATATTATGAACGGTGTGCCGAGGTTCAAGAAATCGTATCTGTGTATACATCTGCCGCACAGTCTGGGGGTGACAGAGAAGAGGCATGTGAGTACTGAGGGTCAGGAGGGCTGCCTTAAGCTTTGTGCATTTGGATTAACACAGGGAGCTTCTCCCGGATGGGGCTAAAATACAGCACGTATGACTTGGCTCCAATACCAGTGGGGACAAGTGCACATTTGAGCCTCCATAGAGGGAGGAGGGTGAGAGTCTGCATTCGACCTGGATTCCAGAAAGACCAAAGCATGGCTCACAGCTGCCTCCACACCTAATCTTATTTAAGAATACAAATGAGAGTGTTTTGAGCCTTGTGTGGCATTATCCCTATCCATGATACCAGGCTGAAAAAAATAAGAACGAATTGGAAAATAAATTAACCATTAGAAATGTTTTCTCATCAGTGCACTTTTGTCTTAGGCTATTAATATCTGAATAATAGCTTTCATATATTTGAACATTGACTTTGTTGTTTGGGGCTCTGTTTTATTATTATTTTTTTTAAATCCTTACAACTAACTCCGGGTAATATGGGAAATTTTCGACAGAAGGAATGAATTTGAAATAGACAGCTTTCGTGCGTGGTCATATGTGCACAGACCCCCTCCACTCACCCGGGATGCTGATCAGTCACAAAACGTGGTCCAGTCCTGTCTCTAGTGTTCCAGCTTGGATCTGGCACTGACACGTTTCTCTGTGCTGTAGATCTTCCTGTTTGATATGGTGGCACTAGAGTTAGTCACATATGTTCCTTCTGGAAGAGAAATTCCTGTGGGTCTCTGCCATCAGCAAACAGGAATTGAGTATTTCAGTCCTGCCTACGTGTCTCACCATCCCTAGAGCAGAATATCCCATTCCAGGCCCTGGGGGTGGAGGGTCACATGTGTCCATCACAGCCCAGTCCCCTAGTCTCCTTGAGTTTACACAGGCTTAGGGACACCCACAGGTAAGTGTGCAAGGGTAGAACTGCAGCTCCGTTCAGGAAGAGGCTCTTCTGGCCCCACAGCTGGGCTCACCGCTCAGCTGTCTAGAAAATGTGACGCGTCAGCAGAGAGGCGAGATCCAGGGGCCTGGTCATGTGGCCAACAGGAGAGAAACTGATCTGGGCAACTTCCGTGATATCAGGAGAGATACTGTGAGTCGGACAGCCAGACTGTCGTGCCTGTCTGTTGGGTGGCATTAGGGAGGTTTTCTTAACATCTTCAACTGCCTCACCTCCCGGGCGGGGCGGGGTGGGGGGGGTCCTTGGGCTTTGCTCTCCAACTCATACGCCAACAAAAATGGCCTAGATATTGGCCTCCGGGGGCCCAGCCAGAGGCCAGCTGCTCATTCCGTAGAATTATTCAACAGCCATCAGCGGCTCTGGCACGTTTCCCTTGGACTCAGCTCTGAATATTGACCCTAAGCAAAGGAAGCGTGTCCAATTTCAAATCCCTAAAGGACCCAGCCAACATCCGGGAATGTTAGGTCTGACCTCTTCTTCCTGGCTCCCAGGTCTTAGAGGGCGAAGGCTTGGCCTCTCTGACGGGTGTGGTCTCTTGTGCTTCTGTTGCAGGTGACCTCCACAACTCCTACCTGGACCTCAGGCGCCGGTACGGGAGACCCTCCACGTGCAGAGCCTTCCCCTGGGAGAAGGAGCTGAAAGACAAGCACCCCAGCTTGTTCCAGGCCTTGCTGGAGATGAATTTGTTGGCCGGTAATGGAGCTTTTGCCTGAGCTTGGGCTGCTGGCTAGAGAGGCTCCCTGTTTTTCTGTTTCTCTCAACCTCTTTGGTGATTTATGCCTCAATGTTATTTTTAACCCTAGTGTTCTAGTTTAATTTCAAATTTAAATTCTGCCCTTGTATGTCCACAACTCTCAATATATCTGTGCATATTTCCAACTCCACACACAAAAACTTAAATTTAGGAATTGCCTGAGCAATTCTTTAAAGCCAAGGCCACAAATGCACACAGCCAGCGGCTGGAGCCGGCTCCCACATGGAGTTAGTTTGCAAAGTACCTTTTTGCGGATTAGAAAAAAAAAAATTGATTATCAGTATCTAAAAACTTGTAGGAAAAAAATGCACATTTCTAGCTTTTTATGGAAACATTCAAAGATCTGGTAATCCTCACCCTTCACTCCTATAGGCCATGATCCTGGAGGTGGGGCGTGGCCAGGGCCTGGTGGGGCCATCCTGGGCCCCTTTTCTCTATTTCTCCCCTCCTGGCTCCTACATTCAGGAGTCTGACTGCCTGGGCCCTTAGGCATTTAGATTTGGGACTTCTGATTTGAACTCCACTTTAAGCATCATCTTAGGAATTTACAAATCCTTTCTAAATGCTGCAAAGGTTCTCTTTAGGCCCATAGCTATTTTGGTTTGCTCAGTTAATTAAACACACACTGTAGGGTCACAAGGGAACTTAAAACCGTGGCTGTTAGGAAGAGGAGATGAAGCTTGAGAGGCTCAGCCAGGGGAAGGGGAGACCAAGGGTGAAGGGTAACTGTCCTGGTGGTAAGGGGTCACCAAGGTGTTCCTGCATGAAGGTGATCTAGAAACCAGCCTCCTAAGAATGACCGTGTCCAGTGGCATAGTTTTTCTTTGCAGATATCAACTCTGCTGTCCTGGAAAATTTTGAGCTGTAAGGGATTTTTATTTCATTCTTTCAAGACTTACTGAGCGACTCCCTGGTTACTTGGCCACCTTCAGAGATAAGTGAAATGACACAAGGTCCCCGCCCTCGAGGGACAGACTTGAAAGCAAAGGGAAAGTGTAACACATGTTAATAAAGGCACAAAGAAGGGAGTGGTCATTTCTACCCAGGAGGGCCCAGGTATCCCAGGAAGGCTTCCTGGAGAAGGCGACCTTGGGACTGATTCTTGAAAGGTCATAGGTGTCTTCCGGAGTGGGTGTTGGAGACCAAAGGCAGCAGAGAGGGGAGGGCAGCACAGCAAGTTGAACGCAGCAGGAAGGGCTGGGGAGGCCCAAGGAGCCCTGGAGAGGGACACCAGCCTGAAGGGTTTTGGCTTTTCCTGGTAGGTGACCAGAGGTGTTCAAGCAGTGGGCAGATGTATCAGATGGGGCTTTTAGAGGTCACTCTGGTGGCAGTGGGGGAGAGAGAGGTGAGCTAGAGGAGTGTGGGCCAGAAGTGGGGAGAGGATGGCCGTGGTCCAGGAAGAGAGGACGCAGGCTTGGGTGGGACAGAGTGACGGAGACAGAGCTAAAGGACCTGAAGAGAGTGGCCCCGAAGGATCTCTGGCTGCAGGGATGTGGGCAGGGAGGACAGGGAGCTGAGACAGCCATGGTTCCAATACTCGCTAATCGTGTGCTCTTGGCAAGGGACTTAATTTCTCTGAATCTCAGTGTCATCATCTGCAAAATGGGTGGTAGTAGCCTGTGTCTCCTGGTGTTGGGTTCAGTGAGTTGATATCTGACTAAAATGCTGGGGACAGTCCCAGCACACAGGAGGCCCCTCAGAGGCAGCGCTTCTCAAACTCAGTGCTACCGACTAGACATTTTGCACCAGAGGATTCTTTGTTTGGGGGCCTCTCGTGTGCATTGTAGGGTATGCAGCTGTGTTTCTGGCTTCCACAGGGTTTCCCCCATCATCCCCTCATCTCCAAAAGTGTCTCCAGACATTGCCAAATCCAGATGCCCCCAAGGAGGCCAAAGCACCTCTGGCTGAGAACCGCAGTGTCAGTGTCATTGCTATGGTCACTGGGCAGAGGCGAGTCCAGGTTTTCCTGGTCGCCTGGATGGGCTGCCCCTGCTCTTTCCCCAAGACAGACCCACGGGAGTCGAGGTGCTTGTTGAACGTTGACTAATTGAAGCTAAATGAGCTATGACCACATCCACCTCCAAATTGTTTTTATGAGATTTCTGATCATTTTTAAATATAGTGTTGCTTGTTGGGAATGGGAGTGAATCATTTTCACAATACACTCTTTTTAAAGAAAATACTCTCGATAAAAATGTTTTCACATTAATTTTTTTACAGCTCAAAGTTTTGTTTATGAGAAGTGAGGGCTATTTTATTCTCCATGGAGGCCTGGATATGGAATCTGGGTAAAAACTCAAATCCGGAGCTCTCTAGCCACAAGACTTCCTGATGTAGGTGCTGCATCCAGTCAGGCTGGGTTTGGCTTTGGAGCCCCGATGCTGGGTGACCACTGTAGGATCCACCGTGTGTGCCAGACCCGTCAGTTAGGTGCTTCTGGGGCCAAATTAGAACAGCATCAAGGAGTGTCCATACCCCCTGGCCCTGCTGTGTCTCCCTCCCCTGCCAAGGCCTCCGCCTCCCTGGGCCGTGCAGCCACCGGCTTGTCTCAGCCTTGCCCTGGTGGCCTGGGAGCAGGGGGCAGGGGAGCGGAGGAGGCCCCATTCTTCCCTCAGTGCCTGCCTTTCTGGGTCACGTTGGAAGGACTGGGGTGCCTCCTGCAGAGGCCAGGCCCACGCTCCTTCTCATTCATCTCTCTCACTAGCACAGTGACACTGCTTGGGGCTATAAGAGCATCTTCCAGCTAACCCAGGAGAGATTGGTGTCATACATTGTACCCAGCTTCCTAACAAGACTGAAAAATAGGTAGAAAATCTGATTTTACAAGTTGAGGGTAAAAATGGGTTTACATTTTTAACATACATTTTATAAAAGAATAATAGTAAGACAGGCATGACCGTCTGCTCCTGGTCTCTCAAAGATCCTTCCTTCCAAGGGCATAGTGTCGGGCTGGCCCTGGCCTGCCTCAGACCACTCTAGTTTAGGTCCTGTTCTCTGCTGCTGTCCTGACCTGTCCTGTCCTGCTGATTAATAGACTTTACTAGAACATCCTTTTGCCATAGTTGGAATGTGGTTTGTCCTCTAAGGTGCATGTGTCAGAAGCCTGGTTTCTAGCATGGCCTTGTGGGAGATGAGGAAAGCTTTAAGAGGTGGGGCCCAGTCAGAGGTCCTAAGGTCATTGCAGGGACTGACCTTGGAAGGTATTAAGGTCATTGCCATGGGACCCCTGAGCTCTTGAGAAAGTAAGTTACGAGTAAGTCTAACTCCTGACCCATTCTCTGGCTTCCTGTTGGTGATGTGCTATCCCTCTCTCTCACATTCCAACCCATCTGATGCCAGTACCATGCCTTGAACCACCAGAACTCTGAACTAAACCAAACCTCTTTCCTTATGAAGTTAGCTTTCCTTAGGTATTTGGTTATAGTAACACCAAACAGACTAATGCATTCACATTGCATTTTCATACCTGAGACAAGTTCTGAGAACAGACAGGAGCATCGGTGTGCAGTGCCTAGAATTTTTGCTGTAGGAGCAGAATAGAAAGACAAACATCTAAGTGGGCTCTTAAGTCACTCCCAATATTTCATTCATTCATTCACCAAAGAAGTATTGACTGAGTGCCCCCTATGAGCCAAGATGCAACAAAATCCATGCTTTGAGCTAGAGTGAGTTAGGCCAAATATAAAGAAAACATCAGCTCCCTTGATTCCCCCAGGGGAATTAATTTGTGAGATTATTCTTCCCGGATTTTTTAACAGATAGGATGGTAGGAGATGATGGTCTGTTATTTCTGATTCTTTAGGAGGGAATCATCTCTTTCTTGGCAGCATCTCCCCATATACATGGCCGACACTCCAGTTCCAGGCTGCTACACACACGCACGCGGCAGACTTAGAGCGATTTCCCCCCACACTGTGTGATTTTAGTTGGATCATCTGCTCTCTGTGTAAGCCAACAGCATACTTCAAAGGACCGCAGGGGTGGAGTGGCCCGGCTTCAGCTTCATTAACAAGCATGGAGAATGGCCTCCACCCCCCAGCCAGCGAGAGCAGTAGGGATAGCGCCTCCCAGGTGCTCCCAGAATACCTGGATCCCCCCAAAACTGGGAGAATCGCCAGGTATTTACACCTCTGCTCCTGAGGGTGGTAGTTGTGTGTTGAAGTTTTAATGGTGGTAAATACACTTAAGTTACCTTTTTAAATCCAGTGCAGTAGCATTAAGTGTGTCCACACTGCCTTGCCATGCGTCTCTAATTCTTTGATTCTTTGAAAACTGGAATTCTACCATTCCTCCCCCCATGCCCTGAAAACCACCATCCCACTCTCTGTTCCCATAAGTCTAACAACGTTCCGTAGCTCCCGTAAGTAGAGTGGCACCGTTTTTATGTTTCAGTGGCAGGCTTGTTTCACTTAGCACAACGTCCTCGCCCATGGTATCGCATATCAGAATTCCCTTCGCTTTTCACACCCAGCGATGTTCCATTCTGGGCATGCAGCACGTTTCGTTCACTCATTCTTCTAGGGTGGACGCTTGGGTTGCATCCACCTCTTGGCTATTGGGACTAATGCTGCCCTGAACAGGGGAGTACAAATGTCTCTCTTCAAAGACGTTTTGCTCTCAGTTTTTGGGGGGAATGCATCTAGAAGCAGAGGGGCTGCATCGTGTGGCAAATCTGTTTGAGAAACCTCCGTACTGTTCTGTAGTCGTTCCAGCATTTTCTGTTCCCTCCAGCAGTTCTCCAGGCTTCTGGTTTCTCCACATCCTCACCAGCACTTGTTGTCTTCCATCCTCATAGGTGTGATGTGTCTTCCATTTTTGTGCAACAGTTTCATAGTAGGTTCATGGGAATTATGAATGGAAGGCTTTTAGAGGTGATTCATGTCTATGAAAGAGCTTCCTGGAGGGAAAGTCCCCTGTGGGCCTGAGGAGACTCTGCCTC